CGCTGGCCTTATGGAAGGCCTTAGGTCATTAAGAGTATACCCTCCAAAGAGCTTCTGAGACCTGGCCAGTCCCTCCTGCCTCTACTTCCCACTGGAAATGCGACTTCTTGCTCTGACTCTCTCCTGCCATGATGTCCCATCCTCACTAGAGGCCTTGATCTTGAACCCAAACCTCCAGGACCATAAGCACAAATAAAGCTTTCTTTACCTAATAAGTAGCCTTTGTCAGGTATCTTATTATAGTGCCAGAAAGCTGACTACCAAACCTCCATGAAGTTAACATAATGTTAAAACTCTTGTAGGACTTAATACCTTATTAGTACTCTTCTAAACCTGCAGAAAAAAAAAGTCACTCACTTGCTGTATACTCTCATAAAGAAGACATAGTTGGTTTTACCCTAAAATTACACAACTGTTTCATTTTCATTCCTTGTAATTGCATAATATCTAACAGAATTGAGCCTCTGCTCATAGTGATGCTACCCCATTAGCAAGATCTGTCAGTCCGTTCTATCATTTGCTCCTCTTCTATTGCCTCATGCAGTTTCCTTGTAGAAAGATGCCCTGGCTTCCCTGGTGCTGTACTGCAGGCAGCTGGCACCAATCTTACAGAAACAAGCATACACACATCTCAGCCAGTCTCCTACATATGTGCCAACTATCATGCTTTCCCAGCATAAAGCACTAAATGTGTTGGGACTTTAAATAAGGCCCAATTTTCTGAAAGCACAACCAACATTTCAGGGAAAAACAAAAACAAAACCTTCAGCACTGGAAACACTATAAAAGAAATTTCAGACGTTTTTATTTCTTTAAGGCATTGGATGAATGGGTTTCTAAAGATAATGACAGCCCACTAGAAGTAAAAATCAGCCAGATCATCACATAACTGAGAGCGTATCTCTTTGGGGTTTCTCCGAAGCCTCATATTTTCATAACCCAGGTGTTGCTGCACCTTCTTTCCTTCTCCAAGGGGTGCTTTTTCTGAATCGGGGTGCTATCATTAGGCTAAGTCTTTCTCTAGTCGGTCTTCGCATCTCTGCTTGGAATTTTCCATTGAGGTCCCTGTCAGAATCCACACTGGAGCTCAGAAAGGAAGGGGCATGTCATGCCAAATGTACAGAGTTCCTATGGGGGCACTGGAGCCAAGTTGAAGAATTACAAGGCAATGGGATAGTGGACTTTCTGACTTTGTCAATTGCCCTGATACCATGAGAGAGAACCCTCAGGGCCCAGGCCTCTCAGGAAGGGGTCTACTCTGACATGTCCTTCTTGCTTGTACTATAAGGTACTGAGAATAGCCAGACCCTTGAAGGCTAGATATAGATATAGACACAGATATCTGTGAACACAAAGACCTTCTGAGGCTGGGCATGGTGGTGCATATCTATAATCCCAGTGGCTCAGGAGGCTGAGACAGGATTTCGAGTTCAAAGCCAGCCATAGCAATTTAGAGAGCCCCTAAGCAAATCAGCAAGACCTTGTTTCTAAATAAAATATAAAAAAATAATTGGGGATGTGGTTCAGTGGTTATGCAACCCTGATTTCAATCCCTGGTACAAAAAAAAAAAAACTTTCTGAGGTTTGGGAACACAGGGTTAACAGGCTCCTACACCTACTCGAAGCAATCCAAAGACAGAGCATCCACATTCTCTGCAGAGACTCCAGGCCCTGAGATGCTCCAGCAACCCACATTACAGAATGCAGTTTCAAGCCCAGTCAGTTATATAACTAAATATTCTAAAGCCAGTGTTTTCCCAATTGACAGCCCACTCAATGTCATAGGTCACGGCCAGCATTTTCAAAAACTAAGAAGAGTAGAAAATATCAAAGGTGCATTGCACATAACAAAGGTAAGTACCTTCTTTTCATTTGTACAATTTGTTCCATGAACTTTTTTCATGAAATTTTTATTTCAGGCAGATAGGTAGGCAGATGACCTGTCAGTATTATGAGCTAGGCCATTACACAGAATGCAATTCTACCACAGCTCTTGGTCAAGATAGGCAGACAGTGGAAAGATGTGCTCTTATTATTCTATCCTCCATTTCTAATTTTGATTTTTTTTTTTTACTCTGCTTTCAGTACTAATGAACAGACAATGTGCTCTATTTCTCTTTTCCCTGCATTGATAGTCCCCAAAGATACCACATCGACTCTGCATACCCAGTCTGGATTTGACCTGCCTTCAAGAGGTGATTTCAAGATATGTATTTCTTTTTTTGATGGGAACAGCCTGGATAAGATAATTATCATTCATAAGAATCACAGACATTTCACAGGACTTAAACCAATCTCACACATATACACAAACACCTGCACACGTACATGTGCATGCATACCCGTGCACATTTTTCTTTTTCTGGTCAAGGAAATAAATGGTAGAATGTTTTGGGGATTCAACCTGAGATTCATCAGAGTCCTGTGCAATGTGACATCCTCCATTTCTATGCTTCTAAAACGATGCATGTTTGCAGAGGCCCTCTGGGGACAGTGAGCCATCCTGACCTCGTGACCCTCCGGGTTGTGCAGCGGATGAGGCGGACTCTCTCCCTGCAATTTTGCTCCAGTCAACGGGTTAATCCTCCTGGAGCTGAAGTCTGACACGACGTGAACTCCAACCTCCCCTCACAGCTGTTTTAACATTTCATGTGCCTGACAAGAAGCATGCACATCTGACCTAAACCTCACCTGCTGTAATGTGACTCCACTTCATCGATTCACTGTCGGAGGGCCACCAAACATTTCTGGAGCCTCCCCGCCATGGGCTTCCATTGCTCCAGGCTCTGCAGAGCCTGGAAGGCAAGAGCTCCCAGTCTAGCCCCAAAGACAACACTCCATGTCATGTCAGGCCACCAGTGCAACAAAGACAATAAGGGAACAGCACAGGTTGGCCTCAGAGGGCCTGGTTCAGCTCCCAAAGGAGCTGGTTATGACTTGAAGCTCTGAGTGGTAATGGAGAAAGGTTGGCCTCTTCCTCCTGAGAATTCTTCCCCCTCAACTTCTCTCCGACTCCTAATTAAATATTCACAGTTAAATTTCTTTTTATATTCAACTTTTAGCCCTTTTATCAGCTCTATTGATAAAGTTGGTTTTTTTCTATCTCTCCTTGCTATGAATGTTTGTTGCTCCCCAAAATTCATATGTTGAAACACTGACCCCCAAGGAAATGGTGTTAGGAGATGGGACCCTCAGGAGATGATCAGGTCATGGGTGCAAAGTCCTTATGAATGGGATCAATTCCCTTATAAAAGAGACCTCCTGCCATGTGAGTTATGGTGAAAAGACAAACCCATGAGCCAGGAAGTAGGGTCCTCATCAGGGCCTTAACCTTGGATTTGTCAGCCTCCAAAGCAGGAAGAGGGCTGGGGATACAGCTCAGTTGGTGGAGTGATTGCCTTGCATGCACAAGGCCCTGGGTTCAATCCCCAGCACCACCAAAAAAAAAAAAGAAAAAGAAAGACAAAGTTAATAGAGAGATAAGCTCTATTGTCCACATGTCTAAAAGTGTGGAGACTCAAAACAGGGAGAAATAAATTTCTATTGTTCATATGCTATCCCGCTTATGATATCTTGTGATAGCAACCCAAAGACACTAACACGCTCCCTCTACAACGCAAGCAGGAACTATGTCTATTTTGTTCTCTCTTCAGCGTCCAATACAGCTGTCTGGCAATCAGCGTTTGTTCAGTAAACGTGTGAAGCCCATTTTTCATGGGCTTTGTTAGCCTGAGATGGAGGAGAGGGCTCATGTTTAAAATGAATTCCTATTAGAAACCATGAGAGCAACTCCCAAATTCTCCTCTCCATTGTAGAAGGCCTTCCATCCCCACCAGGTCTCTCCTGCTAACACAGGAGAGCCCCTGGAGATGTCTGTACTGTGCTCAGGAACAAGGTGCTATAGGTGTGGCCGCCACCCTGGAGACCTCCACAGGCAGGAGAGGTTCTGCATTCTCTGAAGCCCTCCACACATCACAGGCAGGGCTGTCCGCCACGAGGAGGGGGAAAGAACACCTCTCCCTCCCTGGTGTAACCCCTTTCTACAAGGTACCAAAGCAACCTGGTGAGGATTTCTTCTTCCAACACCTACCTTTCTTCCCTTTGATCTGATGTGAGTCAGAGAGACGATGTGATGTGAGTCACAAAGAGTTCATCTGAGGACAAGGGGCAAGATTCAGAATCTCTTCTCCCCACTCATCACTAAGACACTGGAATCGGGCTGAACTTATTAGCCTAACTCTTCCTTAGGGTGAGGGATTCCCAGGAGGCTGTTCACTGTCTGCAAAAGAAACTGCTCTGGTAGCCCACCAGGTGTGTCTAGATCCCAGCCACTGCCACACTCCACCTTGAGCTTGAGAGCCACGACTGAATTCCTTCTTGAAAATGGAATCTTGAGGTGATATAGACACACGGGATGTGCCTGAATAAACCTGTGAGTTCCTGTGTGGCCAGGAAGTGTCCATGAATCCAGACACAGCTGGTGGCTGAACCCTGTGGGAAGACAACTCTACTTCTTTCTGAACCCGTGGACATTCTGTCAGTTGAGCTATCACAAAGGCAGCTTGGAGAGACAGTGTGGACCTCACGGAAGACACCATCACTCCCGTCAATGTGACTGCAGTGGACAGGATCACTGTCATTACTCCAGTCACTCAGCAGTGCCCTGATGGCAGGCCAGCCAATTTGCATAGGATGCTCACGACCAGACTCTGATTATCTGATGTGGGTACATGACGTCTTATAGAAACCCATTTTCCACATGAGAAAAATTTTATTTTTGGCTTATTCAATCATCAGCAAACAGTTATTGAATGCCTACTGTGCCAGAGATTCATCTATTCAAAGCCACAAACAAAAGCCATAAGGTCACTATTCTTACATACTTATCATAAATAAAAGAATGTCAGAAGTAAATCAAAGCATGTCCCAAGTGTGTCTAGATCCCACGTAAGAAAACAGTTAAATAACAAGATAATTGACAGAATCATGATTTTAAGAAAAAAAAAAGTAAACAGCAACACGGCATAAAATGTGGCTGGAATTAACTACCCCATATCATCCCTATCTCTCGTTTCCCTTTTTTCTCTAATGCACATGCCAGAAAGATGAAACAGATATTTCCCAATTTTCATTATTGCTAGGCGTAGCAGTATGACATAAATCCTTGACTGCAGATAAAATACCCTGCAGAAGGCTTCCCTGCCCATTAAAATGCAGAGCCACATGAGAAAAGATTTTGATCCTTTTAATTTCCTCTTCTCCTTGTTTCGAACACAGACATAATGCTGATGAGGTGATATCACTGGGGAGAAGGTTAAGATGCTAAGGACGGTAGAGTAGAAAGTGAGAAAGGGCCCAAGTCCCTGATGGCATCCCTGAGCTTGGCATAGCCCTGACCTGACTACCCTAGGTGTCTTAAGATGTGAGACAAAGTCCTGACAGGTTAGGCCCTTATTAGGTTTATTCTTGCTTGAAGACAAACAATTTTTTTTTTTTTTTTTTTTTTGGTGGTGGTGGTGGTACCAGGGAATTGAACCCAGAGGTACTCTACCACTGAGCTACACATCCCCAATCCTTTCTATTTCTTAAATTTTGAGACACAAAGTCTCACTAAATTGCTGAGGCTGGCCTCAAACTTGTGATCCTCCTGCCTTAGCCTCCTGAATCACTGAGATCACAGGCATGGCACCACCACCTGGGCTAAGCCAAACGGTTTTCTAACTAACAGAGGGACATAGAGTTGGGAGAAGAAAGCTACTTTAACTCACATGTTTATGGAGTTAAGACCTAAATGATAAGAAGAAGCCAGCCATTGTTCTAGGGGGAAAACATTTCAGGCAGAAAGAACATGAAGTACAAAGTCCCTGAAACAGAAATAAGTGCTATATTCAAAGAACACAGTGTGCCAAGGCAACACGAACAGGGAGATTTTGACCTCATTGGAGGTCCCAGAGGCAAGTGGGTGCTAGCCACAGGGAGCCCTATAAGCCATGTCAGAAAATCTGAGTTCTATTTTAATTCCAAGGGGGAGATTTGAGATGGATGGATTTGAGATGTATTTTGGAAGTAAATCCTGTAACAAGATTTGTTGATGGATTGAATGTAGAAAAGGGGGGAAAACAGGCCTTGCAAGTGACTCCTAGGGTTTTGTCCTGAACAACTGTGTGGAAGATGGGGTCACTTGAGAGAGGAAGAATCAGGGAGGTCTCGGTGGGGGAAAAAGAGAGGAGTGCAGAATCAAAACCTGTAGGCCAAACTGGCAATATCCACTAGAGTTGCCAGTGGCAAGTCACGTTGGAAGCTGGACTCAGGAATCTGAAGCTCCCGTGAGAAGTGAAGCCTGGAGACAGACACTTGGAACCATCCACATCATGTGCTGTTCCAAACATGAGTCTGCAAGTGAGTTCCTGGACAAAGAGGTTTAGGCCTGGGGTATGTCAGCGTTTAGGCTTAGAATGCAGGTGAGGGAACCAACAGAGGGGACAAGGAGGGAATACCAGGGGAAGTGAAATAAAACTAGGAAGCTTCGAGAGAGAAGTGAGAAGAGGATGGGGAGTGTTGGGGGCTCAACTTAATGATGCCAAGAGGCTGAGAGCACGGAGGCAGAGCCAAGGCTGTGGACTGAGCTGGTTGGATGTCAGGTCATCTCACCAAGAGCAGTTTCAGAAGAGAAAAGGAGTGGAAGCCACACTTTGGTGGGTTCAAGACAAAATGGGAGATGAGGAAATGAAGTCCAGACATCTCTTCAGTATAGATAGTTTTACTCTGAAGAAGAGCAGGAAAATGGGGCAGCGTAAGAACAAATGGGGGATCTGGGAAGGCTTTCCAGTTCGAGGGTAGATCTTAGGGCCCTTTGCACGTGGGGATGTTGGTTATGCAATGAGGTGGAGGACTTGACATTTACTGAGCTCTCACTGCATATCAGACGCTTTACAAATTCCCAGTTAATCCGCACTGTTGTGAAGCCTGTGAAGTTGGAATTTTTCACTCTTTACATGGACAGGAGGAAGACAATAGAACATATTGGTTGGTACTTCCAATTTGAGCGTGACATCATCTGAGTTATGTGACCTCAACCAGTTATTTAACTCCTTATTTAACTCATTGGAAAGTGAGGATAAAATAGTACTTATTCCAGAAGATTGATCGGAATATCGAAATGAAATAATCCTCATAAAACATGCGGCACAGCCGGGCACGGTTTGGTGCACACCTGTTATCCCAGCGGCTCAGGAGGCTAACACGGGAGGATCGTGACTTTAAAGCCAGCCTCAGCAAAAGCAAAGTGCTAAGCAACTCAATGAAACCCCGTCTCTAAATAAAATACAAAATAGGGCTGGGGATATGGCTCAGTGTTAGAAGAGGGCCCTTGAGTTCAATCCCTGGTACTGCCCCCCCCCCAAAAAAAAAAAAAAAAACATTCGGCAGAGGCCTCACACATTGCAAGTGCTCTATTAATATTTCTTTCCAGAAATGAGAAAAGAGAGCCTTGGAGATTCAGTGTCTTTATTTATTTAACAAATATACTGAGCTTTGACATTTTGCTCCATTCCAAGTGAAGCTAGGAAATACTGCAATGAATAGATTCCTATCTTCATGGAGCTTATAGTCCATACTGACTATAATCATGACAGTGGCAGTAGTAGTAGTAGTAGTAGTAGCAGTAGTAGTAGTAGTAGTAGTAGTAGCAGCAGCAGTAGTACTAGTAGTAAATAAATAAATAAACTAACAACAACTAGTACGTCTTTCCTACATGCCAGGCCCTGAAGGCTTCATGGTTGTGAGTAACATGCAAAATCTACCTTGCTCCACTCAGTCTTTCTATTATGTCATCCTTCCCAGGGGTATCATTTTTCAGGAAGAATGAAACCCAACTCTAATGAAATAATCCAGTTGTGCGAGGACATGTTATTGAAAGGAAAACAGTAGAGGTGATGACTAACCTTCCTTGCTTTCTCCACAATTTCCCTGATGGTATCGGAAACAGATTTTAAGGATTGTTTTTCTCTGCTTCCTGCCTCCTTTCCCTTCCCAGGTTTCTTCTCAATTTGTTTAATTAATTAGTGACACATAGGTGACTGGCGCCATGTTGGATCCTGTGGGGGTATCAGAGAAAAGTATTGTTGTGGGCTTAACTGTGGCTCCCCCAAAATTCATATGCCCCCTAACCCCAGTGCCTCACATTGTGACTAGGAGACAGGATCTTTAAAGAGGTGATTAAGAAAAAATGAGGTCCTATGGGTGAGCTCCCTAGTCCAATATGACTGGGGTCCTTGTAAGAAGAGGAGATTAGGGCACAGACACTGCGTGAAGACACAGAGAAAAGACAGCCAATGGCAAGCCAGGCAGAGGCCACAGATAAATGAACCCTGCCAACACCTACTCTTGGACTTCCAGCCTCTAGGACTATGAGAGAATAAATTTCTCTTGTTTAAAACCCCTAGTCTGTAGTATTTTTTTTTTTTTTTTTTTGCCTAGTAAACTAATCCAAAAAGAAAATGAGAAAAGCACTGAAGTTAAATCCCTAGGCCACGGAGGAGGAAGACAGTATTTGCCTCAGTCAGAGAAAGATCTGGGGAAGGAATAGATTGTGAACTGGCCTGAGGGTGACCACATGGACTCACTGGGTATCAAATGGGAGACGAGAACATTCCAGGGAGGTGGCCCAGCATGAGTCATCTTTCCTCTGTTATTAAATCACTCTCTTTGAGTCCCCTTAGGATTATCTTTACCAAGTTCTAACCAATGATCATTCTGTTACTATTTCATCATTATGTTCATTAAGGATGGTTCTCTTCACTTTGAGATGAGGAGACAGAGGCACAGAAAGGGAATGAAACCTAGCCAAGGCCACACACTTAGTAAGGGGCAGAGCTGAACACTCACCTGGACATTCCTCCTCTGGTGGTATAACCAAGACCAAGTTTGGCCAGTTGGTGAGTAGGTGCAGATTGAGGTACTGTGCCGCAAAGGGTGTGTCGGGGAAAGTGGAGATTCTTCTGGTCATAAACAAAATGACAATAAAACAATGAGATCAGATTTCTCAGGAGACTTGTCAACTAGCTGGAAGACAGATACTGGATAAAAGAATTTTTAACAATTGATTTATTTTTATTTGTTTTAATTAGTATACAAGACAGTAGAATGCACTTTGATACATCATATATAATGGAGTATAATTTCTCATTCTTCTGGTTATGCATGATGTAGAATCCCACTGGTCGTATAGTCGTATATGTACATAGGGTAATAATGTCTGATTCATTCTACTGTCCTTGCTACTCCTGTACCCCTTCACCTCCTTTCACTTTCTTCAACCTAATCTAAAGTAACTCTATTATTCCAGAGTGCCCCCACTGTGAATTTTTGAGCAAAAAACATGGAATAGAAATATGTTTCTCCAGGGTGCCAAAAAGGGAGGACAATGATTTAAATGAATTAACAGATATATTTATACAGACTCTAGTCTCCTTTCGTAAAGAGATACCTAGCATTTTGCATTGACGACATTGTGTTATGCTAGAGAATTCCATGTCTATAGCTAACATGCCCAAGGTATAAATGCATGAAAAGTAATCAATAAATGAAAATATACATCATTGGTTAGAAACAAATGTAAATGCGATTTCAATTCAAAAATTTTCTTTCGCAGAAAAGTATACTTGGTGGGGCTGGGGTTATGGCTCAGCAGTAGAGTATTCGCCTCACATGTGCAAGGCCCTGGGTCCTCAGCACCACATAAAAATAAATAAATAAATAAAATAAAGTTATGGTGTCCAACTACAACTACAAAAAAATAATTTAAAAAAGAAAAGAAAAGTATACTTGGCCAAGAAAAAAAAATAACTTTTTTTTCATGGTACTGGGGATTGAACCCAAGGGCACTTTACCACTGAGCTACATCCTAGAACTTTTTTAT